ATGTGTATAAGAGACAGGTTTACAGGTAAGAGTGTAAATATTGTAAATAGTTGTAACGTGTAAATAAATTTCAAACTTTGTTTACAGAGAAACATATTGTGCCTATGATTATTTGTGAACAACCCACAGAAGATAATTGTCTTATATATATATGGGTATATTTTTTTAAATTAATTTTTTTAAATTATGTATGAACAGCTTTTTGTAATATACATATAAATTTTATTTTAAAATTACAAGAATAGAATAGTTTAAATGTTACTTGCAATTATATTCTTACAATTTAATACATAAAATTATAAATAGAAATTGACCTCGAACAATAGCTCTATAATTGGCAAATGCCTGTATATGTGTTAAATATGTAAGAAGCGCATGAGGGTTACTACAAAACTGCTCGTGAATATTCAGTCGAGCATTAAGATAAACGTACCAGTGAATAAACATGTATCAATATCTGAACACGTACACAAAATTTATTAATCGCAAATGCTTTTTTTTATTTTAATATCAAAATTTAATTGTAAAAATATTAAAAGATTACAATTAAATTATAATATTATAAAAAAAGCATTTAAAAATGAGTTTATGTGCTTGTTTTGTGTACCTGTTCAGCTATAGATACACGTTCAGTCACTGATACATTTACCTTAACTCATCGCATAACTTACTCGGGCGGGATCTGTACTTATCCGCGCGTTAAGTTAAAACGTTTTTAAGCTGTTAGAACATCGGGGTAGCTGTTAATACGAAGGTGTCGTGAGAGGGGGAGGGAGAGGAGACAACAATGGTGGAACGGCTCCGCATCGTGTTTCGGCCTAATCGCGTAGACAGCTCACTTCATATCCGAGTTTCGGATAAGTGCGGACATTTCACAAATGAATATAACCCCCGTCGCAAGCGAAATTTTCATTGTCACCGTTATCAATCGCCGTTATTAATCACGCGAAGCTTAAAAACAAAACAGAGTATTATTGTTTGTTATTGATACGATTAAAAATAAAACTGTATTAGATCTCTTTATATTAGAAGAAAATAATATTTATACAAAAATGTGAAATGTTTTACTCATAAAATGTGCAATAATCTAATACACTTGTTATAATTAAAAAATTTTTTATTACTAAATCGCATTTAATCATTTATAAGAATTAAAAATGTTTGATTAATATATTTAATACTTACTTAAAATAAAAAAGTATCTTCTCAATTGGATTCTAAAATATTGTTCAAATTGTTAAAAGCTTTTTTAATTGATTTAATTATAATTTTATTTAATTCTCTAATAATAAGGATCTATGTTTTATACATACATATATTAAATATGTTATTTAAATAATAAAAATTTATAAACTTGTAATATTATTTTAAGATTTTATATTAAAAATTTTATTTTTAATTATTTATATGTTAATTTGTATATGTATGTGTATATACGTATATGCATATATGAATGTCATATACATGTACATACATGTTCATATATATACATATATGTATACTATATGTATATCTATATAATATACAAGGTGTCCGGTACTCAATGCTAAAGCGCTTGTGGGCAGGTAGAGTAGGCTAAACTGAATCGAAAAGTTTTCTATCATTTTGCGATCTTTACAATCAAAATACTAATTATTAAAGAAAAAATTACGCCAAGTATATAAAAAAGTATAGTACATTACATCTTATCTAAACCAAAAATATTTTTTTAACAAATAAAAGTTGTCCAAAAACAAATATGAGATCATACAAATTGCCAAGTATTTGATCAGACATAGAGACAAAAATACGTTATTCCAAACCAAAATATTTTTTTAATAAATCGTTTAAATCATCCAAAAGTATATGCAACAAAAGTTTAATGCCATTATCTTTTGAAATAATTTTAAGTCTCATAAAATAGGCTTAAATTGACTAAAATGACCAATGGTTTAGGAAAGATGTAATGTACGATACTTAATTTTTTATATATTTGGCGTAAATTTTTGTTTAATGTTTAATATCTCGATTGCGAAGATCGCAAAATGGTAGAGGTTTTCAATTTAGTTTAGCCCACTCTACCTGTCCACGAGCACTTTACTATTGAGTACCAGACATCCTGTTTATGTACATAATGTATGTATATGCATATATATACACGTGTGTATGTGTGTGTGTGTGTGTGTGTGTGTGTGTTTGCGCGTGTGTGTGCGTGTGGCGTGTGTGTACGTTTTATTCTGTTTTAGATCTTCGCGCATTTTGCTTATAGTTTGTGATACTGATTCAGCTACTGAAAGAACATTAAATAGAAAAGAAGAATCCGTTACAAAATAGTATTTTATATATATAAGTTATAGTACCTAGTAATTTTTTTTACAAGGGTCTCATTATAGCGACGCCTTAATTTTGCAGCGGTTGACCGTATCGAGAGTTTGAGAGACAACCGATCCCCTTTAAGTCGTCGACTTAAAGCCGCGCTTCCATACTACAGAAATAATCTACAGTAAGCACCATCGTAGATTTTACAGGTTTCGACTTTTAGCGATGCCGCGCGTTGCGCCCTTCCAAATAATTTAACATCGTTTTAAGTTGATTGAAGACGAGATTTATTACGAGCCTTTTTGCGTTGCTCCCTCCTGAATCTCCGTTCACGATTTTATAATATTGAAGTGTATCATTGTAGACTTGTAATATTGGTAATACTGCTTATAAATATAATTGTTGAAAAGAAGACGTAATATTTGTAAAAAAGTACCATGTAAATTCTCGTTATAATTTTCTATTATAACAAATTCCTTAAGCAATCTGTATGCAGACAGATATCTGTTTAAATTATTTATTATAATAGTTTAGACACACACGCACACAAACTCATTAACATTATTGTACAATTTTGATATCTTTTAGCAGTTAGAACAGATTCAAATAAGCATAATTTATAAACATACATTTTCTTGTGCCTATGCTTGAAATTAGTCTTGTAACGATGAACATTAATCCGAATGCCGATCACTCGAAATCTCATTTTTTCTCTTTCTACATATTATCTTCGACACATTATTAACAAGCCGTGTTCTAAATACCCATCTTCTGTTTTGATCGGATGTTGCTATAGCAATTCAACCAGTTACCACTAGAAGCCGAGTATCGATTCCCAAGTGGCAGCAGTCAGTGCCTGCACATTCACGTTTAAGTTCAGTCACTCACGATATGCGCGTTTAAGTGTTTTAATATCAACATTTAATGTTAAATAATATAATATAATGTTAAACTTCTGATGTAATACTAATTAATATATATTAACAATATAAAGCAAACACATTCTTTATACCAACTCTCCTATAATGTATAAATACAATGGTACATTGATAGATAAAATATTTTTACGTGATATACAAGAAAGCGTAATCCTTTAAATTGCAGTAAATGTCTCTATGCAATTACTCTTGTTATTTGAAATCTGCATGAGATTAAAAGCAAACAAGTATAAAGTGGAAAAATTATCTCGTTTTTCTTTCATCAACTTTGTAGACATACCTATGAAATTATTTTTTGCTTCGAAAGTTTTTGCCTGCAAGTCGCTACTTTGTAATATCGAGAAATGGTATAAGTTGATAAATAAAAAAATTGAAATTTATACGAGACAGTGATGAGGATGTTTTTGTGTAGTGTATCAAAGGATTGTCGGTGGTAATAGAAGATAATAGCGCGCGCGAGATAGAAAGAAAGAATAATTGAAAAGGACAACTTGGATTCTCTGTGAACTTCATTTTTCTCTCACAGTAAGTTTTTTCTTACTAAGTGAAAGAAAAGAAGAACAGTTTCTGTTGAAATATATGTACTTCGAATTTCGAAATATCTGATCCTTAAATATTTGACGATTTTATTCATCGCGAATTATAATCGATTCAACAAAACTATTTTCGTGTACGGAATCTTCAATTACAAAAAATATACAATATTTAATACAATTTTTCGTTTGAAGTTGAATGTATTGAAGTGGAGCGCGTGCGCACAATAAATCTTTTGCAATCTCTCTTCGCACTCGCTAAAGTTCACTTTACTCGCACTAGATCACGCAAAAATGCATTCTTTACGTCTGAACCGTGGTTGATAATGGAATGTGGTCATCGCAAAGTGAAACTACGCGATCGTGAGAAATGTCATTCTGTCACGTGCACACTTTCAAGAAACGACAATGGCTGACAACTTGCTATCGGAATAAGATTCGAAATCGGTATCTTGTCAACATGCGGCATATTTTATCGCACAATTTTATTTATAATTACTTTATATACATACTGCCATTGTGAGCAATCATATTTATGCATATGGATCCATTTGCGCTGGATCTTGTTTTTCTTTGGCGACGCGATGAGTCACTTTTTCGGAAAGTTTCGCTTGAGAAAATTCGGTTACTTCATTCTTGTGGACTGTATGAAGTATATTCGTTGTTCATGTGATATTTCATGAATAAGTAATTGCGATTCAAAACACAAACATCATACACTCTTTAATTACAAATAAAAATATTTTCTACTCTGATATTATTTTTATAAAGAATATAAATATTTTATTGTATATAAATATTACATACAAAATAAATTAGAAAGTCTGTTAAGAATATGGTACACACAAATTTATTATGCATATTTTGTCATAAACAAATAATTCGATAATTTTTAAAGAAAAATAGTCTATAAATGTACAGGAATGTATAATTCGTTATTACGATTATATATCAGTTGTAATGTGACGTTTTTTAGCAACGTTCGTCACATTGTATATGTATACCTATACATAGCTGCAATAGAGAGGTCTTGACATTTTAAGCCTACCATGCAAGAACGGTTAATACTTTAAACCCACCAATATTACAATGTAAAGGAATTACAATGTAAAGAAATAATCCACCTTATCCTTCCATTGTTGAAACAAATGAACCATCAAATAATAAAGTATTTTAGCTGATAACGTTACTTTTAAAAAATAAGCATAAAAAGAAATTTTAACTGAAATAAAAATTAAATATGAAAATAATTGTTAGAAGATACCTTTATTATTATTTTATTTTTCTCTGTTTTAATTTTTAATCATATTCTTCTCTAATTTCTTTTTACCTTTTCCATTTGTTTTCAACCATCGCAGAAAACGTAATTTCATAAAGCTGATTGATAGAAATACTCGTGTCAGTTAAATGTCTAATCATGCGTATGCGTCAGATCGTGATTGGATACTCTTATTTATTTAACATCGCCGGGCCGTATCCGTTTTACTTATACCCTTTCCGGCGTTCACACTGGTATCTTCATCTGTACACTGTTGCAAGATTGTATACATGCAACAGAGATACGCACACATTTATTTTCCAGTAGCCTTATCATCTCGCAACTGGCGAGCGAAGGAGAGCACGTAACACAACCTAGTGGCCGCAGCTGTCGTTCTCGTGTACACTGTGTTCCGATAGTTACGGCACGCACAGGTGAAATCGACAGTCACTATATCGTACGATAAAATGCATAATCGTCCCGACAATTTGCGATGAGTCACGTTTCGTGCGCGAAAAATGCGTCGCACGCGTGTTCGCTTCTCCTCTAATTCTCCTCCAATCTTTTTTTCGCTCTTTCTACTATTAATTTTAATCACGTAGACAATGTATACATAAAAATGATATAAATGGGAAAAGATCATTACGTTTCACAAGAAGAAATAAATTTATGCCGGCAAATCAAAAAAATTACATGATGATATTTAAACATATAAAGTATCTCTTTACCTAATATTTAAGCAGTTTTTTACACAAATTCAATATTTTTCTCATAACGAAGAGATTGTTATTTTCCTTATAATCAGATTTCTTTAATTTTATAAAATTCTTATTTTTTTATTTAGAATTAATTTAAAATTCTTCTAAAACTACTATTTTTTTTCACTATTACTATATTGATTTTTTTTTCCTTACAATACATACATGTCAAATTAGAGTTCAAAGTGTAGTTGATTAAAAATATTTTTTTTTTGTTTTAGCTTGTAGATTCATATATAGATAATCATGAATCTTAATTAATTATTAGAATCATTTTTACTGAAAATTTTGGATATAAAGAAAGAAAGAGAGAAAAACAGAGATGTATACAATATTTATTAATTCCAATAATTAATTCAAAACCAATATATTAATCTAATATGAAATAATCTAATATAAAAATAAAATTTTTAATTAAATTTTTACAAACTATGAAACATAAATAATGACATACAATAGAAACAAATTTTTGATTATATATTTTAACGCATGTGAGAACAAATCTTACATAATTTTATACTTCTAATAGTTCTAATATTTTAATGCATCTTAATTCAATATAAGTGAGACATAGAATAATCTAAAATAAAATCTTCAATTAATTAAAAAGTATATTTCTTATATTTATTAGCAAAATACGTAAATTCCATTTATTTGTCAATATTGTAATTTTTATGAGAAATAGAATTTGAATGTAGGTGTATATATTTAAATTTTTGTAGATTTCGCGGTGTGCTAAAATTTAAATAATTTCATTGATTTGACAGTTCTCCGTTTACGGAGAACACAATATATGCACGCTTTTCTTCAAGACACCCAGTAGCCTTCTTTCCCGCCGGCGCGATCCTATTAAACGCATTCTTACGACGATGCGACAGTGGACACTGGACTTTTGCGGCGGACACATGTCGCGCTAGCCGGATGCTTAGACCTTCGACGTTTATTTGTCTTCGTATCTGTTCACCGTGCGTTCGTGTTGTTATTAGTGTACAGCTCTATCTGTTCGAGTTCCTGTCTAGCGTAATTTTGCTTGGGATGTACCGGTGTGTGCATTATGCGACTGGCGGCGTGTTGTCCATTACGATAATAAACTGCGCGGAGAACCTGTTTAATTGTCATCCGTGCCTCGTCGTTTGTGTCGCTGCGCCTAATCGCTGTTGTTCTTCCACGTCTCCACAAACATTGAGCACTGGAAAATACACGATACGGAGGTGCACGTATAGTCAATACGTGTATAAATTCTGATAAAGGTGTGATAAGCTGTCCGAATTAAATACGTATATTATTTCGAATGGAACGCTGAATAAAATGTTTGTTATCTAAAAGACGTATTCTCGAGGTTAGAATCAATTTGAAAGGAAGTTCATTTGTTTTAAATCAGAAAAACTAAAATAGAAACATTTTGTCGAAGTAATACAATACTAATATAATTATAAATACAATATAATTTCGTATTTTACAGACTATAAAAATATTCGAAATCTAGTATCCTATCATATTATTTATCATTCGTCTACAAAAATTTTATGATCTTATTACAATCAACTTTTTAAACAAAGTATCAAAAGAAGGGCTAGCGAGCCTTGCACGGAGTTAGAGCTGTGAACTCAAGTATATTCAGAATAAAAATTAGCACCCAAATATTTCGGCTCCGCATTGAGCCATTCTCAGTGGGTGAAAAATACAAAATTTCTTAATACATTACATTAAAAGTCACTTGTAATAAAAATCGCTCGCGGTGAGATCGCTCGGTGAGTTTTTTGTCCCTGTTTCCATATGTAAGAATAGGTTTCAATCTTCTTATAGGAAACTGGCAAACAGTCCTGAATTTGTTGGATCGAGTCAGAGAAGTAATTAAATATACATGTCTTGAGTCAGTGTATGAAAACGAGATGTTACTCAGGCAGATGAACAACATGAAATTTGTATTTTTTACCCAGTGAGGATGGCTCAATACGGAGCCGAAACGTTTGGGTGCTAATTTTTATTCTAAATATATTTGAGTTCACAGCATTAACTCCGTGCAAGGCTCACTAGCCTTTCTTTTGATACTTTGTTTAATTATTAATTATATGAGCTAGTCTGATATTTTGCAACTTTTTAAAGTTGACCTGAAATCAAAGTAGAAAAATTTTCGTTAAAAATCACAATATATTTTCTTGAGAATGGGCTCTCAAGTTTTCAACTGATCGTTAAGGGACGAATGTAAAGAGCTGTTCAATATTGGGATGGCGTGCCTGAAGCGCTCTCAAGGCTTGAAGTTTAAGAAAAGCACTCGAAGCAAGCGAGAGAGAGCAAATGCGACGCGACGGACTCGAATTAAAATGGTCCACTGAAACTCATTCCCCGAATTAAACGGATTAGATCCAATCAGCACTCGTCGCGGCCGCTGCTGCTGCTACTGTTGCTTGCTGAAGAAGTAAGACAGAGCACGCAATACGTTGCGTAACGACGGAGGATACGTTTAACTCGATTTCATCCTTTGTTTAATTAAATAAATCTCTGCGGTCAGAATATTTGAATTTCGTGCCGTGATCTTTTTAAATTTTAAGCACGTTTCTTTGATTTAAAGTATTAAACACACAGTTAATCTCGTCGCTTTGTAATATTCCGTATAGGTTTCATATTACAATTCAGATTTAAATAAATATTGTCAGAAAGATCACGCACAAATCCAATTATTTATATCTAATTAAATGAATCGAGCGGTCGCGAGTAATCTTTTAAGAAAGATCACTCAAGAAGTATCAAGGCCATAATTTCTATGGATTCCAATTTGATCCAAGTTTGCGCTTACGTCGGATCGACGTAAGGTTTCTCGGGCGGTGTCTTTCTCGGCACGTCTCGCGAGAATCTATCGATTCCGACGAGAGAGCTTCAACTCTTCGACAGGCAGGATATTCGGCCGAGTATATTGGGTTTCACATTCCGCTAACTCCCGTGACTCACACCGAATACATACAAGCGACTACGCCACGTGGTTACATAGACGGGTGCATCTTCCACATTGCATGCATGCCGCGACGTTATTCTCGATTTGTCGAATTTCTCACAACTTACGATTTATTATTTTTCTTATTGATGCTGCACGAGTAAAGTAATTTGTTTGATGCATTGGAATAAACACTAGCCCAAAATCAAAATAATGAATAATGAAATGGAAATCCAAAAAGTCACTGATTTACATTTACCGATAAATAATGGTTATTATTATTTTTTTATTAAGAATTATAAAAAGTAAATTATAAAGTACTTTAATTAACTGAAATATATTAATTTGGCAAAATTACCATTTTCTAAAAGGATTAAAAAAGAAAAACCAAAATGTACGTGCTCATTGAAGAAAAAACTGTTGTATCAAGTTAAAAAGTAAAACCTAAGTATAATAGTACTACCTTTAAATTTAAAGAAATAAAACCTAAGTCGTACGTTTTTTATAAAATTGTTATAAAGAAAATTAAAAAATAAAATCCAAATATTATCTTAAATTAAAAAAAGTTGCGTTACTCATTGTCAACACAAAAGACATACTATATCATTTGGATTTGATGATAACCAAATTATAAAAACTTGGCGCAGCTAAATCCAATAAAGAAAAAAATTAATAAGCAATAATAAATTTAATCTGAATATTACAATGTTCTTCTTATCTGCAAGTCTGAATTATTCATATTTCTATTATTCTATTATTAAGGTTTAGCAGTGTTAAGTTTTTTTATATAAATAATTTTAGTATTTAATTTCAATTATTTCGTTTTGTACTGTTAATAATTTTTTGTAGGAGAATTAAGGCTACAGTATCACTTGGATTAGAATCAGAAAACCCTTTAATGGGAAGAATACCAAGATATCACTTAGATTTATTGTATAAAATTTTAAGACAGTACCATTGGGTTTTATTTTTTATCTTGGTCAATAAGTTTTTCTTCGAACGTCTTTCTACATATAACCTTGGGTTGAGTAAAATCTTCTATTTTTACTGTAACTTACAATTGGCATTAGTTATTGATAATAATGAAATCATTAAAATCTAATACAAATGACATATATCTAGATACTAATACGAATAATACAAATGATACATATCATGATACATATCAAATATGGCATTTAATCATCCATTAACTATTACATATATCTCTATAAAAATTTCAAAATTAGTACAAGTTTATACTTTGTAAACAGTATTACATGACAATAATTATTATAAGATGCTCGCATTGACAGATTGTGATTTGTTCTATCTATCTACGGAAAAGAGGGAAAAGAAAATGAGAGAGAGTTGATCGAAATATATGATCGAGAATAATCTGCAATTACATTTTCGCTATGACCCTTCCAGTTCGTTTCTGCGACATAATTTCTCTTTCCAAGGGAGGGAAACACGCATTTAAATTACGCACACGCATTATTGTGCACCGCAAGTACGCACTTTACGAGTCGAGATGGTTGGTTGTGGTTTATTAATGATCGCGATATTTGCAGCTGCAATAAAAAAATTTACAAGAGCCATGAGATGTTTTCTTTGAAATAATATTAATTTATTTAATTACTTTCTACTCTTTAAATTTAATTTATACTTATTTTTTTTTATTACTTCTAACTTATTGCATCAAAAGATAATAACGCGCGCGCTTAAATATTATTTACGAATTATCTAAATTCTATTTTTAATAAGTTCTATTTATTTATTTTCTTAATTAAAAATTATGCTTTTATATGTTTTTAATTTACATATGTTTACTTATTTCTAAATAAAATATATTTTAAATATGTAATATTAAATCAAGATAATGTTACCTTCATGAATGACCGAGTTATATTTTCATGAATATTATAAAATATACTCCATGTGAGACAGCCGGCCACGGTCTCTCCTAATGTTAATATGTCATAAGAAATTTACTAAAAGAATATGTAATTTTCGTATGTATAAAATCCCCCTTTTGTATGTATAAAAATATCCCTCTATCGTGTCATTTTTCCCTTACAACGCTGTTGACTCTATAAAAGCATGAACGAAACCTTCTAATTTTCCGGTCTCACGATTTTTGCTGATGCAATGCAAATACGAGAATAGAGTTTATTACGCTATGACGATAACAAGAATAGCCAGTGACAATCATTATTATTATTATTGTCACTTTTTAATTACTTATATTTAAAAAATGTCACTCTTAAATATATCATCATTTACAAATAAGACATTTTTACTTTTAAGTAAACTTGTAAAGATGTGATAATTAGTTGAGACCGTATGAGTACGGAGTTGATTGTAGACGCACGTTTCTAGAATTGGCTGTGACATATTCATAAATAAATACAAAAAAACATACAAAAAATATAGTTTTTATTTCAATTTTAGTTATATATTTCAAAAAATAACTACTGGTTATAACTTGTTTCAGAAAATAAGTCTTTCTTTTTTATTTTCGTGCCATAATTTCTATGAAAAATGAAAAGACATAAATATCTATACAAAATATTATATTTGTTTTTAATAAAAGAGATTATATTTATTAACATTGTTACAATAATGATTAACTAACTATAGTAAGAATTGTAATTTTTTACGATATAAGGAAATAAAAAAGTAAAGGAGACAAAAAAATTTACTAACCAACTTCATTTTTTTATTGTTATAATATATAACGTTTTTAACGTAAACCGCTTTACATAATAATTTTCTACGATTATAAGGACATAAAAAAATAAAAAAGAAGACAAGAAAAATTTACTAACTTTTTTTAAATTGTTGTAATATAAAATGCTTTTGACATAATTATATGATGCAAACCACTTTAAAAATAATAAATTAATATTATATCAGAAATCTACAGTATAAAAAAGAGATATGCCCTGCCATATACCGATTGAGTTATAAGCTTTTTGACAACCAACTCCATATGACAACCGGTCCCGGTCCCTCCTATAATATTAATAAAATAATTTAATTTTTAAACAGATTTTATGACTAGAAACGATTGAAAAGATATTTTTAATGTAATGTAATTATTATTATATTATTTTGTCTTGAAATTTTACTACAAAATATTAAAATTTACACAGTGATATTTTTTTCTTTTGACTCTGTAATGTGAGCAGCATTATTGATCAGCGGAACGATCAGTTGAACGATCACGGAATAATAACTTATTGTCAAACTAATATTCTCTTATTGACTCTAACAGCCTAAACTTGTCCTTTGCTTTTGTCTTTCAGCTACTTAATTCTCTGGCGACCGATTTGGACTGCATGCTGAGCGAGCTGTGCACTACTTCCAATTCCTACGAACGGTGAGTACAGCTTTTTTTATCTCTTTTTAACAAAATAAAGTGCGATATATCACATCGTTTATTTCGAATTATAGATCGATCGATTGTTAACAAAATCATGTCCGAGCGCGTAGACTTTTCTTTTAATTTGCAAATTAATTAATTATAATTAATGTAATTTATATTTTATTAATTTATATTTTTTTATAATTTTATTTATATAATTATTATTTATAATTTACTTACAATATTTACAAGAAAATATAACTATTTAATAATTCCATTTAGCATTGCAACATGCGACTTAAGTAACAAGTATATTTTCATATTAATTATTATCACAAGTAATACATAAATTTTTATTATTAATTGTTAGTAAAATTAATAAAATAAATTACTTTAAATAACAATAATAATTAAACATACGTTATATAATATACGTTAAAATACACAAATATATAAGCATATATATAAAATATAGGTACATTTTATTTTAGATATACGTAAATTGAACATATAAATAATCTAATTATCTATAATTTATTACATTGTAATATATTATACATAGAAAAATTCGACTTGTAATGTAAAGTGAAGAGAGAGAGAGTGGGAAACACATTAACCACCCTTGCCACGTGCAGTGAGGATTAAATCGAATTAATTCCTGTAATTTATGGCGAAAATCTCGTGCGAATAATTTCCATATCACGTGGAATCCTCCTCATGATGTATGAGAGATTGCATCTACCAATATTCGAGATATTACATGGAACACTGGATGTTGTACCAAACGGTCAAACGCTTATTACATTCCTTATATTTGCTATAAATCAATTCCACCAATTCGCAATTTTATGCAAATCTTAATCCGTTTATATTAATAAAAAAAACTGACAATAAAGACAGATTATTGTAATAGATATCTATAATTTAATTAAAAAATTATTCAACTTGAAAGATTTGATACAAAAATGGTGATGTAATCGATAGTCAAGCAATTTGATATAATTATTTGAATACTTTTATCTAGCGATAGATCAATTTGTTTATTCTATCTTTATTCTGCTGTGTACTTAAACTCTCAAAACCAAAACTTTTCACCTTGTTTCATCATTGCCTTATGAAATTGATACAACTTTCGTACGTGCTGAAGTCATTAGTAGTCATTATTGTATACTCCAAATAATTATCTGTTTTAACTATAGAAAATTTTAACTATAGAATTTTTTTTTAAATTAGATGAAAGCGCGAAAATGCTATACAAATTATTAAATCCGATTACATTTGGTACATAACCATAGTGAAAAAATAATTCATATTTAATCACAATCAACATAATATTTATATTAAACGTGTCATAAGGTTATTTAACAATTTATATTATGCATGTAGCATTATATGTTGCAGAAAAGAAAAATTAAAATATGAAATTTTGCTAGCACTTATTGTTCTATTCATGTTATAAAAAAATGCCGATTAATCATATTCTTTGTAAATAAACATCTAACATCGTTTTTTTTTAAAAGCGACTTTTTGTTTTAGATCACCCGTTAAATAGGATATTTATATAGAATGCGATTATGTACACGGTGCATAGATATAGATTCTTATGTATTGTAATGTATATAGATATAGGTAGGGTTAAAGTTTAAAATTTAACACATCTGTGGGGTGCGCCTTGCTATTCATTCCAAAGACAAGATAGACGATGTCTTCTTGAAAGGACGCAAAATTTGAATGGGGCTCGAAAAGGGTCCGCACTTACCAAAGTTTGAAACTTGGCATAACTTCAGTTTCATATCGATGAACGTGATTTACTGCGGCAATTAAATGGAACAGTGATTACGCGTGCTTTGTTTAATATAACTCAAGCAAGTTATTTACAAAGTGGAGCATTAGATCATTACATTAATTTTATCGCATCATATATTAGATATTAATTTTCATTAATTTTGTCATATCATAAAATTGCTGAAAAAAAACATTGAGCTACATATAAATTACATATAAATGTAAAAATATTGCATTACTTTTAATAATACATTATTTTTAAATATTGACAATAAATTTTTAATATATTGTTGTATCAAATACGCAGAAAACTTTTTCCTATAGTTTCCATAACATTTAAATGTAGATGAAAAACCAAAAAATATTGAACTCAACGTATAATTAATAATATATATTATTTTCTTTATTGTTTGTAAATAAATTAATTTTTAAATTATATTTTTCATGGCGTAAAATAAATAACGCATACATAGATTTTTATAAAATTATTGGTATTTTAAATAATAAAATGTTAATATTACTTTTTATCTACAAAAATTTGAAAATAGTAATTCCGTACCATATTTTGCATCAAAAATATTATAATTCAAAAATTGAAATTATTATATTAGCATAAAATTATTATATTAACATAATATCAGATCAATACGTAATTCAGATGTGCATTAAAAAAATTATTTATGTTAAGTAAAATTTGTTTTTTTTCTTCTAAGAATACGAGTGTTATTAAGCGGCAGCATCGAAATGGCAGACAGCTGGCAAGGAAAGCAATTATGCATAATATTATGGCACTAATTTTAAGCACATGTCACGAATAGGTTGTTTCTTAGCAGCAATGCAATTTTGCGAATATTTGTGACATTTTAATCCATACAGATTGTTCTTAAAATACAATTTTATACATGAAACATTTAATTAATCCAATGATTAACAGATTAATTATTATCTATTATAATAATATAAAAGAATAATAAAAATGTAGCGTAAAATATTGAAAGTAATTTTGATATAAAAAAGAATTGTATATGTATTTTCATAATTTCTGATATATCAGATTTTGCTAATATATTTATTATTATTTTCTTCTATGGTTTTCGATTTGTTGGAAAAATTATTAACTATAAACTATAAAAATAATGATAATTTTGTTTTTGTTTTGCATATCATATTCATTGTCAATGACAACTAAAATTATTCCAAGCTAATATTATTGTATATTCTGAAATGTGTCAATATATTCTAAAAAATTTCATACTAAACTTAAATGTTTTATTTTAAAAAAATGTTATTAAATAGTAAACAGGTTTTTTATCAGAGATTGATGTAAAATAAATTATGTGATTAAAAATAAATTATATTGTCTATTTAATAAATTATTAATGTAGAAATTATTAATTAAAAAAGAAGTAAAACTACAATTTTTTTGTTTTAATACATGTAAATAATTGATTATAATTTATTAGAAGTAAAATTAAAGAGAGCAAACAAAATTATTTACATCGACAAATTTTATCTTTATTATAACAAACAATAATCAATTTCTTGCAAATTTAAAAGTATATGCAGCAAAAGTTAATGCCAGTCTTTCCAAATATTTTTAAGTTTCTTAAAACAAGCTTGAAGTGACTAAAATGACCAATGGGATCATAGTGAAGCAAAAACTTGGCGTTCCGCATTGCATTAATATTTAATTGATAAGATGTGTATAAAATGCGGGCACGCCAGTTTTTGTTTCACTGTGATCCTATTGGTCATTTTAGTCACTTCAAGCCTATTTTATAAAACTTAAAAATATTTAAAAAGACAATGGCGTTAAACTTTTGCTGCATATACTTTTGGACGGTTAAACGGTTTATTAAAAAAATATTTTTGTTTCTATGTCTAATCAAATACTTGACAACTTGTATAATCTCATATTTGTTTTAGGACAATTTTTATTTGTAAAAATAATATTTTTGGTTTAGGAAAAATGTAACGTAAGATACTTTTTTAAATACTTCGCATAATCTTTTTCTTTTTTTTTAAAGTTATCTCATATCAAAGCTTGATATGCTTTTACATCAATCAATTTATAACATTATCGTTAACACTATACATATATTTATCTAATAAATTAACATCATTTATATAAAATAAATACACTTTTGCAATATAATTAAAGTTTAATTACAATCAAATGTAATTTAAATTACACATTATAAAAAGCATTTTTTAATTTTTAAAATAGAAACTTACAATTTCGTAAAAAGAGAAGATCTTTTATTGTAAAAGATATACTTAAATCCTGATTGTCTAGTTTTAAATACTTTATTCCATGTAAAAATTTTTAGCATAATAATACATGCCAGATTATTATTCTTTGTAAATAGATTTGTCTTTTTAACATTTATTTGGACCAATTTATATATTTTATTCTTTTTAATACACATCGCATGTTGTAATGTTTGATGGTCAATCGTTAACGTGTTATGCGAGAATAACTAGAAAACTGTCTTATATGTATACATGATTCATATATTCAATAGATAAATACGTGAGTATGTATGTAAATTAACTGGACAGATAGATGAGTTACGCATTGCGACGTGTTTTGTGAACAAAATTTCCAGTTCCTCTCCTACCACTCCCCACTCTCCGAAATATCAAGCGGAACTTTTTTTTCTCATATTTCACGGAAATGTCATTCTTCTTTCCCGACGCTTTTGTCCGTCAAATTTAAACATGGTAGTAACCAATGTTTTCGTTGGGGAGCGAAAAAAGGGAAGAATGCTTCCGAAAAAATGGCTGTCGTGATATGTGCAACACTTTTTTTGCCATTACTACTGCTCACACTTTTTGCATCGTTACAGCAGGAAATCAAAATCGCAGAGTTTATATTTCAATATAAAGAAAAAAGAGAGAAGATAAAAATAGGAAGTATAAAATCGGAAAGAATAAAAAAACTTCCTAAATCGATGAGATCAATTCAAATTAAATCTTTTTAAAACTGTTTTTATATTAAAATACTTATTTTATATACATATACCTACACATATGTATACAATCTGTAAAAAATTTTCTGTTAAAGCAGGATGAGCAAGATTTCTTGATTGTAAAAAAATTAATAATTAAAAATTTACCATGTTTAATAAAAGACAAGTTTATTTGTTGCATTGAAAGTATTCTTTTAATTTTAAAAAAGTTCTGTATTTTAGAATTTTTGTCCTAATGTTTCTAATTTTCTAAAGTTTAGCACAGAATTATAATTTTTGTTTACTTTTTATTAAACTTTTTAATTCTGATTCACCAAAAGGAAACGAGATTATCCGTAATACACACATACTTTGTGGACTTTTGATCAGTGATGTCATAAACAGATTTCTGGGCTGGTCTCGCGCCACTGTCACTTGCAGCCTCAACAAGGGAGCTTTAAAAGAGAGGGGATGAAGCGCAGAATTGAAATGAAATTCCGACCTCAGCTCCCACAGTTGAATTATTATCGGCTAGTAATCTTACTAAAAAGTTTGCCTTCACTTCGGACTCGCGATCTATTCTTTTTCTTTTCTTGTTGATATAAAGAAAGAAAAAGTCAAAAGGAAGTACGTATCAAGAGAAAAAGAAAGAAAATGACGTTTATTGTTGTTCTATATATATAACACAAAATAATTTAGCTAAATAATATTCAACAAATAAGATTTCATATTTTCTTTAAGAATAAAAATATAAAGTTGCATAAACTAATACAATAATATAAAATAGTACGAGGGAATGAAATAAAATGATATGTAAAGGGATACGTAATATAAAGTAGAATAATTAAAAAATAATAAAAAATTTATTATAAATAAATTAATAAAAAATAAAGGGCTACGAACCAAAGCAGGGTGTTATATATGCTTCAAGTAAATGTAACTCTTTAATTAAAATATAGTAAACAGATGTTTCAATCCAAATAGAATCATTTTTAATGTTAAGCGCAAAATTAATATTACATAATTTAAAAGCAATATTCGGTCATTCTAATGGTCTAACCATATAAATTTAAAATATAAATACATACGGTCGTATAAAACAGTCAGATAATATTAAAATGTAAGTATTACTTATTGCATTATATGAACTAGATTAAGGCGCAAATCTTCAGATGTATGTAAGTTCGCAAGACAGTATATTACGAAGTATGTAACTTCAATCTTCCCGGTTTTGTGGTAGATAAAGCTCGGTCGGTTAAATACATTATTTGGATATTCTAGTATATATTATACAATACAAAGTCAATGCT